AAAAAGATGGATCAGGATGCCTCCAGTACTAAGGTATTTCTGTCCTATATTGAATAACTTCAACAGTAAATCAGGGAACATCTGGAATCATAGAATCATTGAGGTTGGAGAAGTCCTTTAAGAAAGATCATGGAGTCCAACCATCTAGCCAAGCAGGACTTTGTTAGGCTAAAAGACTTGCAAATGCAGTGCTCCAGTTGCCCTTGCTAAGTTTTGGGTTCCCGGTGTCCAAACTCTGCTAGTTACTTCAGGAACATAGCGGTCATATTCGGATCAAAGGTAGGGCTATGCCGGCGTCATGTTTCTGACAGCGCTGGTAGCAGGTGTCAAGAGTTCTGCATCTGTCAGAAGACACGCTCTGTATCTAAACATCTGCGTTTCTTACAATGTCTTTTTCTCTGTAATGTCGTAGGGAAGTTTAAAGTCGGATGACGATCCTCCAGCAATCCCACCCCGGCAGCCGCCACCTCCAAAGATACAGCCTCGTGCTCCTGCTCACCCTAACCCCTTTGACCAGCCGCTGCACAGTCCTCCTCCTCCACCCCCCCGGGACCCTCTGCCCGATACTCCGCCACCGGTACCGCTCCGGCCGCCCGAACACTTTATCAACTGCCCTCTAAACCTCCAGCCGCCGCCGGTGGGACGCTTGCACAGAGATCCCGACTGGTTGAGGGAGGCGAGCACAGGCCCCAGCTCCCCCGGCACTCCCCCCAGCACGCCCTCTCCCAGGGTGCTGCGCCGCTGCTGCGCCATCAGCGCCAGTCACAACAACCTGGTTCACCCGCCTGCGCCCCCCGTCCCGCCCCGGCACAATTCGAGCCCTCAGTTACCAAAACTGCCGCCAAAGACTTACAAAAGGGAGCTCTCCCACCCTCCTTTGCACAGACTGTCTTTGCTAGAAAACGCAGAAACTCCTCAATGACCTTAGCCATAGTAGTCATTGACACTGGAATAGTATTTGTAAAGTTCCTTTTTTTTTATTTATTCAAAAAAGGCAGTGTATTCTAGTACTTTCACAAATTTATGCTCTTAAAAGTGCTGCTGATCAAAAAAAAAAAAAGTTTAAATTGGAAAAATAAGACTACACACACTCTAGCCTGCGTCTGTTGGACAGCATTACCCTCAGGTGATCAGCAGCACTGCCTTGTTCACGTCCTCAGTGCCGACAGTTACGCCAGTATACAAAATGTATTTTTTGCACTGTAAACTACACTAAATGAATTTAAACTGACATCATTTAGTTGCACTGAGCCAAAAAAAGGTGCGTCTGTGGAATTTTTTCAAATTTGAGCACTAGTGGCCTTTTTTTTTTAATTAAAAAAAGAAAAAAAAAAGAACAACGGGATGATTACACAAGCCGAGGATATACAGTGTTACCGATTTTAAACCTCCGGCCACTCGCATTCTAACTTTGTGTAAGCTTGGAGGTTCGTGAGTGACAGCTACTGTTCTCGAATATTTTAATGCCGCGTCTTAATTGCCATTGATTTGCTGCTGAAGACAAAAAAGAAAAATAGGTTGAAATCTAAATACCAAAATATTCAGTGGGTTGTGGTTATTTTGAGAAAGGATGGACGAGGACTGCCTGTCTGGGGGATTGGAAAGGATCCCTAGTACTTAGCATGCATCTTGTTCGGATGTGCCTTTTTGTTTTGGTAGGCAAAGGTGTCTTAAGCTAAAGAGTTGTCTACTGTTCTGGAGAACAAAGCTATATGCCATGTATGTACAATTGTTTATATTGTATATTTACAGATAACGCTAATAACCTGTATAAATTTAAGTGACTTGAGGCCTATAATACAGCCTGCTACTCTTGCAATCTTCTACGGTCAGAAGTGTTTCCTCTGGCTTAGGAACAGTCTTGCCTTCCAAACCTAATACCTTTCTTTAGATCTCACTTAACTTAATCGTGAATCCATTTTGGAAATTGGTAGCATTTAAACCAGCAAACACTTAAAGCTTTATTAAACTTTTTAAACTGATCAGTGAATGGAACTTTTATTTGCCAGTTGAACTACTTGTTTGAACTGGTGTGAGAGTGGGTCTGTTTTACTGGTAGTACTGTAGCAGCATTTATGAAGTGGCCAGAAGCCACATTTTATTTACTGGTCTGTGGCCTTTTACTGTGCTTTGTATCAGAGTTCTTAACAAGATTAATAAATCACCCCAGTCTTAATTTTTAAGAGCTTGAGCAGTGCGTGTTCCTTGTGAGGACAAGGTTGGGAATTGGATTTACCGAGTCTTTGGCAATACAAAATGCCCCGGTTTTCCAGCTGTGGTTGTCCTTCGGTCTGCAGCTGGGCCTGAGACGCGGCAGCTCCCCGGGAGCCGGACCCTTCCCTCCACCTACTCGCCCATCGGATGCCTCGGCCCCTCTAGCTGGAGAAGTGGTTTTTCTGGCTCCTGGCTGGAGGAAGAGGACTTGCAGCAGCTCAGCCTTCCAAGTCACACTCTTGGCTTTTCTCCAGCCTGCCTATATTGCTCCCACCGTCTCGGCCTTCCCTCTGGAAAAGGAGAGGAGATAAGCCTGGGGAGGGGTGCTCATTTTCTTTTTCTGGGAAGCTTCATCGTGCCATCTGTCTCTTGGATGTTCTCCTACTGCCCGTCCCCTGGATGCTCCTTTCCTGAGGAAGAGGAGAGGGGTGGAGTCTGTCTCAGAGCTGTCACCCTGAGGGCCGTTTGGGCAAGGAGCAGAACGCACTTTATAAAGGAGAGCTGCTTCATTTTGCAAAAATAACATTCAACAAGTCCCAAACCTGAGATGCATGAACTGGGAGGGCAGGAGGAGGACAATGCCTTGATGATGGTTTTTCCTCTGCAGTAAAAACACAGCTCGTCCTCTTTAAGTTTGGGAAGAACTCTTCTGTTGGTATCTGGCGGTGAAACTGCTCGGTGAAGTACTTCCCTAATGCTCTCTGTAGAAAAGGCAGGCTGTCAGGTTTCACTGTCTCAGTGATCTGCAGAATAAGCTGAACAAGCGAAATTCTTCTATTTAGGTCCTTGTATTAACTCTTTTGAAGTCCCCACCAGCAGCTATTGCTAAAAGATGAATAATATTTGTTCAGACTTCCACATTTTGTGTGTTGTTGAAGGGGAAAAAATCCTCTCCCAAATTTTAGACTATATAAATGTCAGCTTTATACCTTCCTGTACAAGTGCTTAGACCAGACGCATTTTCAATATCCCATATTAAAATATATGATAGCTTTATATTTTGGTCCTGACTCAGCAAAGCCCTTACCAGAGCATTTTAAGCTTAAGCATCTGCTGATGGGTAATGGCTTCCATACGTATCCAAGCACTTCCCTCCATCGAGAGCTTTGTCAGGTTCTGGTTTGTGATGGACTTTGAGGAGAGTTTAAAGTTGTGGAAGCAGGAGTGTACGTTTATTAGAGTTAACCTGGAAATGATGCTGTGCAAGGATGCCGTTCTCTGAACAGCCCTTTTTAGGTGCCAACTTACATTTTGTGTCGACAGCCTACAAAAATACCCGTGCGGCTGTGAAACACTTCCTCCTTTTAACTCTGAAACCTGATTGTGACAGAGGGAATTTGGGCGGCAGTTCCAAATTCCACAGTTGAAGCCAGAGAAAAAGAAATGCATAACTTTCAGTAGGGGCCAGGATGGTTTCATCAGGAAAAAGAGTGATGCAGTTCAAGTCTCGAGCCCAGGTCATGGTTCTCCGTTAGGTTAACACGGACAGAGGCTGGCACTCCAAAAAAACCTGCAAGAGCCTCTCGCTGCTGTCTGGGGATGTCCTGGGCAGCAAAGATGCATGAAACATTACTGCTACCTTTACAGGGCCAGCTCTGGAGTTAACCTGAGGTACAGAAACCACAGTCTGATTCAGAAAAGGGGCCTTGCTTGTGGATAACTTACTGCACAATTAAGCTGTCCTCCAAGCATAACAGGAGCTGGAAAATACAAAAAAAACCCAACACGTTCCGAGGCAGGGCAGCAGCAGCGTGAGGAACGGCCGGTACAGAAGGGCACGTTCCCCAAGTAACTATTTGGCCGTGGAAGTGGTCGAAGGCAGGCAGATTCCCACCAGTGCGGTTCGAGGGAATGCCAAGATAGCAATAAATTAATATTTTGGTTACCTCATAATTAGAGGGATAGATAAAAACAGGGAAAAAAAAAAAAGGGGGGAAAAATGTGAAATTGCTGGGTTTGAAGTTGGCTTGTGTGGGGAAAGGCAGATCCCTCAGAAGAGCGCAGATAAACAGATGCAATGTGAAGGCAGTTAGCAGCAGCAGAAACATCTTTAGCTGTTTTCCGTGATCCTATTTTGAGTTATTGAGTTTTAGCGTTTCCCCCTGCTCTGGAGCTGGACTAACTTCTTTGGGTGCTATGATTTGGTTATAGCAGATCAAAAACAAGAAAGGAAAAAAAAAAGCAAACATCTTTTGTTTCTTCTTTTTTTCCAGATTTACTCCAATTTTCAAAAACACTCCACAAGTCTGAATATACCATTCAGAATCCCTAGCAAATGCAGTAACTCCTCCCTGGGGAAGGGAGTGAGCGTTAGTAAGAAATGCAAGGAAATAAAGTAATAAAAACTGTCTTCCACGTGTCCAAGGAAAAAAATCAAAAGCCTTTGCACTTAAAAATGTTGATGCACGGTCAACTCCTATTCGGCTGCTTTTTTAAAACCTTTCTGCAAGTTTAAATGGTGGCTGAGGGTCTCCAAGGCCCATGATTTTTAGCAATCTTGTGGCTTTCAGTAGGACTGCACGTCCCCAGCGCTTACAGGCTGCCCTGAGTAACGCGTGAAGCAGATTTTGAATCGCTGCGTGTTCATTTTCAGCCGGTTCACGCGTGGAAAATTTTTCTTTGCGGCTGTCTCTCCTCCGGCTGGTGTTTAATGTCTTCTGTAGCCTGATGGGCTAAACCAGGAAGGCCTGACATACCGCCTGCGGCCTCCCCAGGGGGATCTCCCACCTCTGAGGGAGGCCCGACTTGTGGCAAGCGTGCGCACGGCTGCAGTAGCCCGACGGGCGATGGCTGCCTGCGTTCTCTCCTGCGACAACCAGGCCGGTTAACGCAGCAGCTTTACGTCCGCTCCTCTGCTGCCAGCAAGCACTAAACACGAGTAAAACTACGTTTTTCTGTCAAGCAAGGGTAGCCCAGAATATGCTTTCATGTAATTAACAGGCAACTTACAGGAGAGTTGGCGAGGAGGGGCAGGGAGCGGTTTACACGGAACGGCTTCCTAGGGGATTTGGGCTACTTCAGGGGAGAGGCTGGCACCCCGGAGGGACGGCGGCACCGGTAGGGAGCGAGGCCGGGCCGCCCCAGGGCACAGCTGAGGCGAGGAGGCGCGAACGCCCGCCAGTTTCCCCCCGCGGGGGGGGGG